ATGTAGTTTTTATTTAGGAATTTAGGAAAATTAATTTAAAAAAAAACACATGCCAAACAAGAAGCACCTTAATAAGGTTTAATTACCCTCAATATAAGTGTGGTTTTTAGGTAAAAGAAAATCTTTTTTTAACAAAACTCTAAAACTTTTAAATTAATATAATTAAATTATTATATAAGATAATTTCATTTAACTATCTCTATTCGATAAATCTGAGAATCATGTAAGAATGTAAAAATCTGTGTTTATAATATATCGATCTTTATTTTATCGTGGCTGTTGTCATGTCATTTAAAAAGAAATTTATTTTAACAGTTAAAATTTGGAAAAAGTAGAGGTTATTTGGTCAAGTATGGTTCAGACTGGTCGAGTATTGTTCAGACCTTTGGTCGAGTATGGTTTAGACTGAAAAAAATAGGTCGAGTACAGGTCAAGAATGGGTTAAGACTGTTTCAGACTGGTCGAGTAATAGTTCAGAATATTTTCGATGGCAAAGATAAGGGTCAAGTACAAATCAGTACAGTCGAGTATGGTTAAGACTGGGGTCGAGTAATGTCGAGTAAAATTCAGACCAATTCAGACTGGTCGAGTAAAAATCAGTACAGGCGAGTACAGATATAGGCCATTTCAGACTTTTACTGGTTTGTAGTGTAGTGTTGCAATAGAAACAATAAATTATATGCATAAACTTGGAAAACGCTTTAAAAATAGACTAAATCTCTCATACAAAAAACTCTCTTCTGTAAGTTTTCAATTTAATGCAGTGTCAAAAAAACGATGGTGTTTATAAGTCAGTCCATCAACTATAATTATTCAAATGCTGTAGTGAAGATAAAAGATCAAAGACGTGGTGTTGACAGTTTGGAATTATAGCTTCTAACTCCTACCTATTTATACATAATATTAAGAAGATACAATCAGAAAATTGACAGTTCAAGAAAGGCCAAGCTTAAAATTGTGTGTGTGAGGCTCAGAAATAAATGCTTTTCACAAATGAAAAAAATCAATATCGTTGGGGTTTGTTTTTTTTGGGGGGGGGGGGGGGGGTGTAAGATTTTGTAAAAAAGAAATGATCGATTAGTTGTGGTTTGCTTTATGTCCAGTGTCAAACATCTCATGCATATTTCAGAAGAGAACAAAATCATTTAATTTAATAGGAACATTGTAGGCCCTGCTAGTCTAGTGAAATTAATTAAAGGTAATAATTTGATACAATTCAACACAATAAAAAATAGAACAAAAAGAGTCAGACGTTGATCCTCTAAATAAATGATAATTGACCATCTAACCTTTCTTTGTATAAAGGAAAAAATACCTACATTATGAGCTGTTTATTTTCTTATTCATTCTTAAACTCAATGTTGAAATGGCAAAGCATGCATAGCTATACGTTTTGAATAATATTCGTATTATTGGATGATGAGTATCTATATGAAGATCATTTTTGAGTTAAGTTGAAAAACAAACAATTTCAGAAAGGTCCTGCAATAGGGGTAGGCTTGGATGAAGGCGTACAATTTGAAATATCACTGGAAATCGGGATCAATTAGACAAGGACAGAAATTTCAACTGGTCAACTAGGGAGCCCCTAAAATAATTAACGCAAGAGTTCTTTAGCAAACAAATGGCGTAACCAGCCAGGTTGGGTAGAGTCAGCCGTCGATCCGATGGTCCCTGCTATCCATCCGACATATTTCTTGTTTGCCGTTCTGGCCGGGAAGGAATTTTTGAGATTTATTCCGAAAGTTCCATTTCTCTACGAGGACCCGCGGAAAATCTGTCAGCGGGCAGCTGCGGGTCTTACGACGAGCAGCCGGGGGGGGGGGGTATAACATCTAGACAATTTTCATATAAGGGGTCCCACTGACTGCCTCAAGAGAGGACCCGCTACATACATGCTTCAGTGATTCCATATGTTATCAACCAAATGTTTCCAATGAAAGGCGGGGGTAGGTCCTTCGGGCCCCCAGGATCCGACTAAGGTAGCACTATCTTAACATTAGTAATAGGCATTGGATTATTCAAATTTGAAAAAATAACGATTATCTTTATGGATTTTTAGCAGCAAATTAAAAAATATTGACAATATGAAAACTTAACACAGGGTAAAGTTAAAAGAATTATATACATGTAGCTGAAGGACGCCCCCGGGTGCGGGAGATTCTCGCTGCATTCAAGACCCATTGGTGGCCTTCGGCTGTTGTCTGCTCTATGGTCGGGTTGTTGTCTTTTTGACACATTCCCCAGTCCATTTTCAATTTTATGTACATATAATTTGATTTTCACTGAAAGCCCATTACAGAAAGATGTTTCTCAAAATTAGTATATTGGCTTTCTTTTAACAAAAAAAAAAAATAGATTTTACTATGAAACAGAACTCAATGTTTATAACATATTATACAGGTGACTTTTTGTCCGTGACTTTTTGTCTGTGACTTTTTGTCTGTGACTTTCTGTCCTACATTCTGACAGTTATCTTGACCAGGAAAAATGACTATATACCTATTTATATGTAAAAGGCTTTGCATCAAATTTATAGAAACACTTACATTGAACCATTAATTTTATCAAAGAAGAAAATATAAAATGATTTTCAAACATATTAGCAAACGATAAATGTATTGACTTTCGGATACATTTAAACTAAGACAAGGCTCTTGCATACCTCAAGTTAAGTCCGCGAATATGTTTACTTATATTTTATGAAAATATTTTAAACTACCAAGATATCGTGCATACAGCGGCTCAGGCATACCTCAAGTAGTCCTCAAAATGTTTTTTTGTTTGTTATGAAAATATTTAAAACTACCAAGATATCCTGCACAAGGCTCGGGCATACCTTAAGTAGGACGTGGAAATAATTATTTACTGTTAAGAAAATATTAAAAAACAAACTATATTGGAATTATCAACTTACATGTATTTGTGGCCTACTTCACACCTTTTTTGTGTTACTTTATATTTGTGATCAAACTTGTCAAATTATAACCGGTAATACAATAATAACACAATAAAATACAATCTACTACTCAATACTATAAAAAGTTTAACTAACCCCGTGCTCGTCACAGTACCCTAAACTCTTTTTCCCAGGTTGTTTTTATTATTTGATAATGACTTTACCATTCAATCTTAATATTGTTTTTTATACTAAATTTTAAACAAGTCCTATAAGATATAAATAAATATTAGGTAGTACAACATTCAGGACACAGTTAACGTTGGTCAGGTCAAGTTTTTTACCCAAAAACATATATTTTTCCTGTTTTGTTTTAATAATATAAAATAACACAGAAAGTTTCATCGGTTAGGTCATTGATGTTTTTTTTATAAATTTTTCCTATATTTATATATTAAATGATGAAATTTTATTATTATTTCAAATTTAACATAAATCTTTTAAGAAATCAAAGAGGTTATTAGCATATTCGTTTGGTCCTGTCATTGTCAGCGTTGGTCAGGTCAAGTTTTCTGAAGATTTAAAGAAGTTTTCAATATGTTTTCTTATATTTATGTATTAAATGGTCTAAATTTATTACAATTCAAATATGACATGAATCCTTTGAGAAATAAAAAAGTTTTTAGCATTTTCGCGTTGGTCCAGTCATTAGTGTAACCCATCAAAGGGAGATAATTCGTATTGTGAGGAATATTGCACATGATCATTTTTTAGAAATTAATTTCACATGTTTCTAGGTAGATTCCCCATAACTTTTTTTGAATTTTGATAAAAACAAGAATGAAATTAATTGTTTTTTGTGTTTCTTTTTTGAATAGATGTAGCCGCATAATTTCACAGCACTACACCAAATATTGTATTTTTCTCAAAAATTCCAACTTCCTCCGCTGTTACCATGGTAACCAACCAATATATATATCGGTTGACATTATTTTTCTGACTAGGCTTATAGGATCTACATATCAGCCAATTTTCAGAAAGATCGGTGATTATGCGTGCCGAAAAAGTTTAAGTGGTTACAGAGAATGAGTATTAAGGTCCCATGTGTACCTGTAAACGCAGGTGGTGGCAGCATAGTTAAAGAGACACCCGTCAGGCCAGTTATTACACAAGTTCACATTAAATCTGCCAGACGGATATGTACACCTTACAATCATTACATACATGCAATTGTGACCATACAAATTTCTTACGACAGGGTGAAAATTAAAGTAGACATATGCATGTTTAATATAAGATAAATTCTAGTCGTGTGTTATTTGGGGAGATTAAACTCAATATTAAGACGACTTTTTGCCTGTGTGTCACCGCACTAAAACAGTATGTATCATGAAACTTTTTTAAGGGATATTTAAACTTTGAAAAGACGACGATTTGTATAATACTTAAAGGAAAAAAATAATAATATCACATACAATGATGATGGCGGCTATAAATTTTAAACGCTCTCACGGAAAATTATCTTTTCATTAGGAATTGAAGCACAATGATAATATCTAAAGAAATACACCAACTATATATCTATAGTTTGATTAATTAACATAGCTTTAGTTTAACGGTGAAATTAAAAAAAAATTTCCAAACATGTAATCTTATAGTTGACCTGATGATAGTTGATATTTGAATGTTAATTCTATGAACTCTCTATGGATAAAAATTTTGATATTTTGATAAAAAAAAGATAGCTTTAGTTTTACCGTGGAACTAAAACTGTCTTCAAAACTTTAACTTATAGAACTTGAAATTCACACCTTCATTATATAGTTTGTTTTTGATTCTTCAAAATAGATTATATGTAAGTATAATTAAAGGTTGCTAGACGAATATCGTTTTGTAAACAAGTCTTTTAAGAGTTGAAGGAGTAAACATTTAGTAGGCCATTGTTTTAGCTCATTCATGCGATTGAACAAATCTTAATGTGTAGAATGTTTATATATGGAGGCAGATAATAAGAATGCAAGTGTATTCCGGCGACATAAATAGGTGGTCTTAAAATAGATATTTTTCCGAAAATCGATTACAATTTCATTGAAAACAGTCCTTTTAAATATGCTGACTAATAATTTGTAATCTTGAACATTACAGGTAATATTGAACGGTTTACATTTGAGTTGATGATCAGGGAACAGTAAAGGTAATTTATATTTTTGTTTTATAACGTTTGATATTAATCTTATGAAATAAATATAGTAAATTAACCTGAATGAAAATTGTTGTCATGCACCTATAACATTTACGATGTTTTCTAGCTTTTAAATATTCAGCTTTGAGTGTTCCGGATGAAGGTAAATAAAAAAAAGCGATTCGGACTCAAAATTTAACTCTTAATAAATGTTGATAACAATGAACACTAAATTATTAATCTTAATATCAATACATATTTTTCGATGATTTAATCTAAATTATTAGATTTTTTTTTATCTTTTGTACAACATCAACGATAAAATATACGGACAAGGAAGTTCATTACTTAGAAACTATTCAAAAAACGTTACATGAACTACCTTTGTCATACAAAAGTCAGCGGAACGAATTTGCATTGTAAGTATTTAAACCTATTCCTTTTCAACGAATATAGCATCGATATAGATAAAAAATGATGTAATTTGAGATTTCAGATTGTCAACCCTCAGAATTCACTTGTTATGTAGAGATAGGAAACACATAGTAGTCCATAATGTTTTGGTAGCTTATTCATGCGATTTGATGATACTTGAATAACGATTTTATCTATTTTTGACAGATAAAACGTATGCATATGTATATCGTCGTCATAAATTGGTGGTCTATTGACATTCTTAAAATAGACATTTTCCGAAAAGCTGTTGAAAAATTCATTGTAATTCCGCCCTTTAAAATCTGTTGACTTCTTATTTGTTATCTTAAAATAGTATAGATAACACTTGAGTTGAAATACTGTGACCAAAAAACGTAGCTTGAAGAGTTCTTATACATTACATTGTATAAATTCAGCATTGTCACGTATTATTAATTATATCAATATTTAAGGATGTTCGCTCCTCTTGTTTCTGAATTTTTGCCACATATTCGGAATCCTCTGTTTTTATCCATGTACTGCCATTAAAAAAATTTCCCCGCTAACCCCCTACTTTTCTTTTCATAATTTTATTACATATAGTTTAAAAAGCCATATTTGAAAAGGCGGGGGTAGGTCCTTCGGGCCCCCAGGATCCGACTAAGGTAGCACTATCTTAACATTAGTAATAGGCATTGGATTATTCAAATTTGAAAAAATAACGATTATCTTTATGGATTTTTAGCAGCAAATTAAAAAATATTGACAATATGAAAACTTAACACAGGGTAAAGTTAAAAGAATTATATACATGTAGCTGAAGGACGCCCCCGGGTGCGGGAGATTCTCGCTGCATTCAAGACCCATTGGTGGCCTTCGGCTGCTGTCTGCTCTATGGTCGGGTTGTTGTCTTTTTGACACATTCCCCAGTCCATTTTCAATTTTATGTACATATAATTTGATTTTCACTGAAAGCCCATTACAGAAAGATGTTTCTCAAAATTAGTATATTGGCTTTCTTTTAACAAAAAAAATAGATTTTACCATGAAACAGAACTCAATGTTTATAACATATTATACAGGTGACTTTTTGTCCGTGACTTTTTGTCTGTGACTTTCTGTCCTACATTCTGACAGTTATCTTGACCAGGAAAAATGACTATATACCTATTTATATGTAAAAGGCTTTGCATCAAATTTATAGAAACACTTAGATTGAACCATTAATTTTATCAAAGAAGAAAATATAAAATGATTTTCAAACATATTAGCAAACGATAAATGTATTGACTTTCGGATACATTTAAACTAAGACAAGGCTCTTGCATACCTCAAGTTAAGTCCGCGAATATGTTTACTTATATTTTATGAAAATATTTTAAACTACCAAGATATCGTGCATACAGGGGCTCAGGCATACCTTAAGTAGTCCTCAAAATGTTTTTTTGTTTGTTATGAAAATATTTAAAACTACCAAGATATCCTGCACAAGGCTCGGGCATGCCTTAAGTAGGACGTGGAAATAATTATTTACTGTTAAGAAAATATTAAAAAACAAACTATATTGGAATTATCAACTTACATGTATTTGTGGCCTACTTCACACCTTTTTTGTGTTACTTTATATTTGTGATCAAACTTGTCAAATTATAACCGGTAATACAATAATAACACAATAAAATACAATCTACTACTCAATACTATAAAAAGTTTAACTAACCCCGTGCTCGTCACAGTACCCTAAACTGTTTTTCCCAGTTTTTTTTTATTATTTGATAAAGACTTTACCATTCAATCTTAATATTGTTTTTTATACTAAATTTTAAACAAGTCCTATAAGATATAAATAAATATTAGGTAGTACAACATTCAGGACACAGTTAACGTTGGTCAGGTCAAGTTTTTTACCCAAACACATATATTTTTCCTGTTTTGTTTTAATAATATAAAATAACACAGAAAGTTTCATCGGTTAGGTCATTGATGTTGTTGGTCAGTTTATTGTCAACGTTAGAAAGGTCACTTTTTCGGATTTTTTTATAAATTTTTCCTATATTTATATATTAAATGATGAAATTTTATTATTATTTCAAATTTAACATAAATCTTTTAAGAAATCAAAGAGGTTATTAGCATATTCGTTTGGTCCTGTCATTGTCAGCGTTGGTCAGGTCAAGTTTTCTGAAGATTTAAAGAAGTTTTCAATATGTTTTCTTATATTTATGTATTAAATGGTCTAAATTTATTACAATTCAAATATGACATGAATCCTTTGAGAAATAAAAAAGTTTTTAGCATTTTCGCGTTGGTCCAGTCATTAGTGTAACCCATCAAAGGGAGATAATTCGTATTGTGAGGAATATTGCACATGATCATTTTTTAGAAATTAATTTCACATGTTTCTAGGTAGATTCCCCATAACTTTTTTTGAATTTTGATAAAAACAAGAATGAAATTAATTGTTTTTTGTGTTTCTTTTTTGAATAGATGTAGCCGCATAATTTCACAGCACTACACCAAATATTGTATTTTTCTCAAAAATCCCAACTTTCTCCGCTGTTACCATGGTAACCAACCAATATATATATCGGTTGACATTATTTTTCTGACTAGGCTTATAGGATCTACATATCAGCCAATTTTCAGAAAGATCGGTGATTATGCGTGCCGAAAAAGTTTAAGTGGTTACAGAGAATGAGTATTAAGGTCCCATGTGTACCTGTAAACGCAGGTGGTGGCAGCATAGTTAAAGAGACACCCGTCAGGCCAGTTATTACACAAGTTCACATTAAATCTGCCAGACGGATATGTACACCTTACAATCATTACATACATGCAATTGTGACCATACAAATTTCTTACGACCGGGTGAAAATTAAAGTAGACATATGCATGTTTAATATAAGATAAATTCTAGTCGTGTGTTATTTGGGGAGATTAAACTCAATATTAAGACGACTTTTTGCCTGTGTGTCACCGCACTAAAACAGTATGTATCATGAAACTTTTTTAAGGGATATTTAAACTTTGATAGGACGACGATTTGTATAATACTTAAAGGAAAAAAATAATAATATCACATACAATGATGATGGCGGCTATAAATTTTAAACGCTCTCACGGAAAATTATCTTTTCATTAGGAATTGAAGCACAATGATAATATCTAAAGAAATACACCAACTATATATCTATAGTTTGATTAATTAACATAGCTTTAGTTTTACTGTGAAATTAAAAAAAAATTTCCAAACATGTAATCTTATAGTTGACCTGATGATAGTTGATATTTGAATGTTAATTCTATGAACTCTCTATGGATAAAAATTTTGATATTTTGATAAAAAAAAGATAGCTTTAGTTTTACCGTGGAACTAAAACTGTCTTCAAAACTTTAACTTATAGAACTTGAAATTCACACCTTCATTATATAGTTTGTTTTTGATTCTTCAAAATAGATTATATGTAAGTATAATTAAAGGTTGCTAGACGAATATCGTTTTGTAAACAAGTCTTTTAAGAGTTGAAGGAGTAAACATTTAGTAGGCCATTGTTTTAGCTCATTCATGCGATTGAACAAATCTTAATGTGTAGAATGTTTATATATGGAGTCAGATAATAAGAATGCAAATGTATTCCGGCGACATAAATTGGTGGTCTTAAAATAGATATTTTTCCGAAAATCGATTACAATTTCATTGAAAACAGTCCTTTTAAATATGCTGACTAATAATTTGTAATCTTGAACATTACAGGTAATATTGAACGGTTTACATTTGAGTTGATGATCAGGGAACAGTGAAGGTAATTTATATTTTTGTTTTATAACGTTTGATATTAATCTTATGAAATAAATATAGTAAATTAACCTGAATGAAAATTGTTGTCATGCACCTATAACATTTACGATGTTTTCTAGCTTTTAAATATTCAGCTTTGAGTGTTCCGGATGAAGGTAAATAAAAAAAAGCGATTCGGACTCAAAATTTAACTCTTAATAAATGTTGATAACAATGAACACTAAATTATTAATCTTAATATCAATACATATTTTTCGATGATTTAATCTAAATTATTAGATTTTTTTTTATCTTTTGTACAACATCAACGATAAAATATACGGACAAGGAAGTTCATTACTTAGAAACTATTCAAAAAACGTTACATGAACTACCTTTGTCATACAAAAGTCAGCGGAACGAATTTGCATTGTAAGTATTTAAACCTATTCCTTTTCAACGAATATAGCATCGATATAGATAAAAAATGATGTAATTTGAGATTTCAGATTGTCAACCCTCAGAATTCACTTGTTATGTAGAGATAGGAAACACATAGTAGTCCATAATGTTTTGGTAGCTTATTCATGCGATTTGATGATACTTGAATAACGATTTTATCTATTTTTAACAGATAAAACGTATGCATATGTATATCGTCGTCATAAATTGGTGGTCTATTGACATTCGTTAAATAGACATTTTCCGAAAAGCTGTTGAAAAATTCATTGTAATTCCGCCCTTTAAAATCTGTTGACTTCTTATTTGTTATCTTAAAATAGTATAGGTAACACTTGAGTTGAAATACTGTGACCAAAAAACGTAGCTTTAAGAGTTCTTATACATTACATTGTATAAATTCAGCATTGTCACGTATTATTAATTATATCAATATTTAAGGATGTTCGCTCCTCTTGTTTCTGAATTTTTGCCACATATTCGGAATCCTCTGTTTTTATCCATGTACTGCCATTAAAAAAATTTCCCCGCTAACCCCCTACTTTTCTTTTCATAATTTTATTACATATAGTTTAAAAAGCCATATTTGAAAATGCTATAAAATCCTTTTTATTTTTTCATATTTTTTTAAAGAAAAAGGGTGCCAATGTTAAATATATGAAAAGTCTAGAGAGAATTATTTCCCGCCAAATTTTCAATGGCTTATATCTCTAAAACAAGCACACGGACCCTTCATTTTTTCTGCTTTTTTAGTTCCTTTATTTATATACTATCAATTTATAACAGTCTTTTAAAAAGCTTGTTATTTTAAAAGGGAGTAGCGAACATCCTTAAATCATTAATTTAGTATTAATAAGGAACGTCAGAAAATTAGTCTGAACGTTGACGCGATCGGTTTGACCAGGCATTTGTTTCTATATTTACCCCAAATGTAATTGGAAACATTAAACAAGGAGTAAAACAGTACCTTAAATAGTTTGCATAAATGTTCTGTATATGTTTATATGAGAGGTCGAAATTTGGGGAAATTTGTTTGTTTCATTCTGTGGCCATGACAAGTTTATAGGTCAAAATGCTCAACTAACGTTTTACCTTTTCTGTCGGTACGATTCCAATAAGAAAGCGAAATGAATCACTAAAAAAATCTTTATCATAACCTTTTTTAACATAAACTTGTTTGAAATAAAAGACGATCTGGATTGTGTGCACAAATTTGATGAAAATGTTTCTCTTTCCTCCGTAACAATTCAAAAGTAAAATTTGCTCATAATTAATGAAATTTGAAGATTTTGTTAAACTTTTTGATTGAACCACGCACATTTTATAATTATTAGACAGGGGAGATGTTACATAATTTATGTATGTTAAAGGGGCATTAGCTACGATTTTGACAAAAAATTCAATTACGATTCTTTTTGTTTCAAGTACAAAAAAAAACGGAATTTTGAAGTAATATTTCGTTATAAGCAGTCAGTTTGACCCAAATTTGTCAAAATAAGCTCAAAAACATTGCTGATGTAATATTGACTTGCAAGTCAATAACTATACCTTATTCAATCCGTATTCATGTGACCTTCAATTTAACCCCTTAGCTGAAAATGAGTTACGCATATACTAGGGAAATAATGTCAACAAAGAAAGTGAAACAAGGGTGAAGCATTTCGTTGACTGATTCGATCTCCAAAAATCATTCTTATACAGGTTAAAACGAGGATCAACATACTTTTCAAACCTATATCATGAAATCAAACAACATATAAAATTCTAACTGCACATGCTCGCTATCTATTCATCTCTTTATTTATGTTTATATCGGGTTATATGACCATCGGCAGTCTTCGGAGCATATCCAGAAATCAACGCCACTTTGCTTATTTGAATATTATACTAATGAAATCGGATACGGGTCACGGAAATTATATTGAAATGATAGGGAATTTTGAAAAAAAAATGTCTTTTTTAACTATAATTTAAGTGATAGACAGTTTGCGGGGACAGAAAATAAATATATACAACAATATACACCATTTAAACGAAACATGACTGTCGTTGCAAAAATCAAGGTTCCTGAGCTATTTTAAAAATCGAAGCGAGAGGCTTTTAACATTGCAGTATAAAATACAGGCTAAAATGGCTGAAACGTCAAATTTGCAAACTTCGTGTTGAAAATTGGCTAACAAGGTCATTACAAAAACAGGTTGCCGGGATGAAACTTGAAACTTGAATGTCCAAAGAATAAGCAAGTCTAAACCTTGTATGTGTAGTCGTTGAACTCTAGGTTCCCACGTAAAGTTAAAATGCCCCTATTTCAAGAAGAATAAACTCACGAAAACACGAAAATTCACTAAATTCGCGTTCATTGTTTTGATTTTGACCGCCTGACAACTTTACGGAAATATCAGAATGATTATAAACAAGGACTCTGTGACGGGCAACTTATAATATCCGTGTTTTAAAGATTTTAATGATATCAAGCCAGTCCAGTTCAAACTATTATCACGTGGCACAATTCTCATTTACATATTATGAATATAAATTAGCAAAAGTACTACTAATTTCTGGCTATGAGGTCATCTCGATGGTAAATAAGATGGCGTCTAGACTAATGTACGCACTAAATGTTGATACATATTTTCGAGACCATATATTGTAAATTGTTTATGAAAGACTTTTTTGCAATTTGGATAAACGTTTTAGTATGTTATAAATCAAATTTGAGAATTTGAGTCAAATCGGTGAACATGAATTTGACAGCTAATGCCTCTTTAAACTTTCCGTATTTTGTAATTTAATCCGATAAAATCTATGTGAAACACATACTTTAATATTATAATTGATTGTTTTATACTAGTCATTTTTTTATTTCATTATAAGTTGTTTAGGTCTCAGACAGGGTATATAATGTAACCTGAATTACATATATATTACGGATTACTTAATGTATCTTTCAGTAAATGATTTGTTTATGCATTTTGACCACCAGATTTATTAATAAACCAAACCTGATATTTTTGTTTACATACGTGAAACATTTTGTAATTGCAGTGAATATAATTTTCTCTGTTATGCAATACTTTACAATAATAGTTTCAGTCTTTAACTAAGTAATTTGATTTGTAAATAGCATGATTCAATTTAAAAAAGTCTATTGAAGGATACTCATAAATGTTTTACCTTTTGTAAGACTCTGACATTCTTTTTCTCTTACATACATTGAGACTACGTCACATAGTAACTTTTGTTATGATTGACGTTATTGAGTTTCTGATCGGGGTAAAAAAAAGTCATGTATTTCACAGCTGTTTCCGGAAAATATACTGACATCTCTGTGTAGTTTTACGATCACAAAACTCGACACATTTGTAATCCGTAACATTATATGTTATTCAAGTCTTAGAACGGGTATATAATGTCACATCTGTACATTCCACATAGCCAAACGGACGTCCCACTTGGGCAAGAATGTTACCACTAGAACGGGATAAGTGCAGGGATGACCATCTTTTGATACCCAAGTCACCCTTAAGGATTCAACTTAAAAGACAGTCAGTAACCTGATATTCAGTGGTTGTCGTTTGTTGATGTGGTTCCTAAGTGTTTCTAGTTTCTCGTTTTTTATATAGATTAGACCGTTGGTTTTCCTGTTTGAATGGTTTTACACTAATCATTTTTGGGGCCCTTTATAGCTTGCTGTTCGGTGTGAGCCTAGGCTCCGTGTTGAAGGCCGTACTTTGACCTATAATGGTTTACTTATACAGATTGTGACTTGGATGGAGAGTTGTCTCATTGGAACTCATACCACATCTTCTTGTATCTATTAGACACAATGTACAGATCTTAGATGACTCACAATTACTGAAAGCTTGTTCAAGGACCAACTTAAAAAATGTTTCCAGTCTAAAATATCAATAATTACACCTCAAACGGATTTAATGTAACTATGGCATAAGCAGTCTTGGGAACGGCAATACCCAGTGTAATGCCGAACTATATGTATCGACGGGTTACATGACCAAAAGTTCCATATAGGAATACATGTTTTGTTCAATTGTAGTTTAAATAACTACATCAGTGTCAGTTCTTTGTACATTTTTAAAACTAAACACACTCAAATACAGTTTAGGTCCATATGAAAATCATTGAGATAACATCACCCGGGATTATTACTGTACATAGATAAAAGAAGATGTGGTATGAGTGCCAATGAGACAACTTGCTTGTTTACCTGATACAACTTTAATTCATCTGACAACGTACGTGATCCGATCAAAAATCAATTAAGGATAAAAGGACACAATGTAACAAAATCGACCTAAGCAAAACAAATGCGACACCTTAATTGCATAATTTTAAACGTGATCTTGAATACATTTATCAAACAGAGAACTGGACTAATAATAATTTTCATGTTTACAGTAACAATGAACTGTTTCATGGCTATTAGTCAATTTTAAAACACTTTATAAAAATTCAAATTGGAAGTCGTATTCTCTTTGTACAAAAGATTCAAAAGACTTTTCTTTAAAAATATTCAATGTTGTAAATTTGAAATACAGCGAAATTTATTTCAAACGAAATCATTAGCAATATCTCATTTCGTGAAAATAAGGGAACGCGAAAATAGTACAAATACATTATTCAGACTATGTTAAATTCTTTAAATATATATTTCGTACAAATACCTTAAAAAAATTGTATTCGTAAAAAAATTTACAAGAGACTAAAAGTAGAATAATGTCCTTACTGTACTGCATGTCTACGAGGCAACATAAGTCACCAATAAGAAAAAACTCGCATATCTTTTTTGAATACACAAACCTGAAAAAGCCTTTTATTGAATTAGTATTGGTTGTTTTTAATTTGAAGTACCTCAATCTGTTTTATATATGTAACAAAAGCAAGAGGTATGGCTGAATCTGATCAGGAAAAGTATGTGGTTGGGATAGATTTTGGAACTGCATACTCTGGATATGCTTACGCATCAAGTACCGATTTTGGGAATGACCCACCAACGTATTATATAGCAGAATGGAAAGATGATAAGCATGCTTCAAAAAAGGCTCCTTCTACAGTTCTGTTAGATGGAATGAAAAACTTTGTTGCCTTTGGATACGAAGCCGAACGTCAATATTCTGAACACCTAGAATCTGATGATCATAGACAATACTATTATTTTACTCAGTTCAAAATGGTGTTATACAATCAGGTATGTACAAAGTATACTTGCAAGGCTTCATGTAAATGCAAGTAAACAAAGTAAATGAGTTATGTTAATCATATTTGTTAAGTTGATCGGCATTCATTTTTTTCTTGTCGAAGTTTTCTATGATTATTTTTGCAATACCATTCGTAATGATATCTACTTGCATTCAATAAAAAACATTATCGATAGAAACACATTTCATCATTTTATTAAATTGAAGTCCTGTTATGTCTTTAATATTCCCATTCAAAATTTATTGTATCATTTCTTTAAAAGGGTCAAAGGGTTTTTCAATATGCAATTCTATTCTTTCTTAATCTTGCTGAAAGAAAGTTATTAGCAGTTCTCTCCTTTCAGCAGCTATTATGATGAAGAAAAATAAGAGAAAAAGTTATTTCATGGTATATTGAATTCCCCTGTAACATTATTTACATAGTAAAATTTCAAATTACCGACTTTGTTTTCAATTATAAACTCTTTCATAATAGCAACATTTCCTAAGTAGGACACATTGTATCCCTGCCTATACGATGAAATAGAATGTATGGTAAAAATGACTACTCAATGGGAACACAATAGAGTACTCACATCGAAACCTACTCTTTCCATAATGTTTATGTAGCTATACAGTGTGGTATACCTAGGAGTTGTTTCACTTTTCAAACAAATCCAGAAGTCGGTTATTTAAATATGGACTTTTACTACTACATTCATTACTATGTTTTTATCTTAATGTGCCGTGTGTTTTCCAAACGGTCAATACTTTATATACGTGTAATTCTTTTATATAAATATATTTTCTTGTACACGGCATACACATTTAGACTCACGTGCCAATTGATATAGTGGTAAAACGCTGTTTAAATCTTATTTGCAAAAGTACACAGTTAAGAAGAAATATCAAATGTTTCTAGTGTATACGTAGTGGGCGAGTTTACCGCAGTATTTAACATGTAAAATTATGAAATCACAAAAGGCAGTTATTTGTAGAGCGATCACATTTATTGCAAAATAGACACAAGGCTGTAGCGACTGAGCTTATTCTTGTTTTTGTGAATGGTATGAATTACAAATCAATGGCGTTATGTGAAAGATGATTGATTGTTGGTTTCGTAACGTCCAGTGGCAAATATTGCATGCATGTTCAGGACAAGAACAGATAAAGAATAAATACAATAGATAGGTCGTGTAATAGAGGCCGTCCGGGATGAAGGTCTGGAAAATTTTGACTGCCACTTGATAATGAGGGTATAATGGATAGGGGCAGACATTTAGCCTTGCAACAGGTCACCTACGGACCCTTCTAAAAGTTGTTGCAGTGGTTCTTAACGTGCAGAGAGCGTGGTACTCTATCTACACGAGGCATCGGATTTAACGTCCCCATTCTGACCGGATGTGGCTGCGTACTTGTACATCCCGCACTGCTAAACGAACGTCCCACTTTGGCAAAGGGTAAACTGCCAATCGGAGGGAGACCAAGAATGACCATATTTCTTTTCCCCAGTCACCCTTGGGAGTTTATTACCATTATGTGATAAACTACTTCTACTTGTTATAAATTATATCAATCACATGCTTTATAGTAGTTATGACACTTATGTTGATGAATATAATCCCTAGAAGAATATTAATTTGCATGAGCAAAATTGTACGAGGAAGTATGTTCTACCTTTTTAGATTACCTTAGCTGTATTTGGCAAAACCTTTCAGAATTTTGGATCCTCAATGCTCTTCAACTTCATACTTTATTTGGCCTATCTAACTTTTGTGATTCGAGCGTCACCGAATTTCTTTTGTATACGAAATGCGAGTCTGGCGTACAAAGTTTTAATCCTGGTATCTATGATGAGTTTATCTACAGTGTTTGTGCACTTGCAGTTTTATCTAAAGAATAACTATTTCGACTATAAAAGGAAAATATGAACTTTTTCGTTCGAAGCGGACGTAAAAGATACTTTTGAAACTTTTGTATTTGATAACACAAATACGTATATATTTACTCTTTGAAAGATTTAATTGAATTTAATAGCCAGCAACTCTAACAGAAATGTCCGTTTTGATCTCTTATTTCGTTAAAAATACAAACGACGTTGTAAACTCAGTGGACACAAAGAACCCATATTTGCAAACTAACTTGGCATATTGATCGCATATAAAGAGAAGATGATCACTGTTTAGTTTGAGTTCTTCTAGTCAAAGATCATGGTTGCTATACAAAGACTGAATTTTGTGCAGAAACGTTTTCCAGGATGCTAAATCAAGTACTACAAATAGGATTTCAATCTTACTTAGATATGTGGTCACATGTCTTTGGAGGAAGTTTCTATTGATTTAAAGTTTAATACCTCAAAGTTCAAGCTCAAAATTAATGAAAATTTACCGAAATATGTGAAGAAAAGTTATTTTAGGATTCTAAATTAAAATCTAGATATAGGATTGCAGTCTTACGGGGATTTATTTTCAAATTTAATGAGAGGAAGATCCCAGTCAATTTTGAGGTCACAATGTATAAGGTCAATGTCAAAGCTACTTACAATATAGAAAATTAATTCTAGGATGTTAAATCATATACAAGAAAAGATATGACAGGAAGTCCAATTACATATAATAAAAACAATATTTCTAAAGGGACATTAGTTACGAATTTGACAAAAAAATTTAAATTATGACTTTTTTGTTTCAAACATCTACGAAAGCGGAATATATAAATAATATTTTGCATTTATAAGTTAATTTAGCTCTATTTCATCAAAATAAGGTAAAATAAAACCCATTGCTGATGTATTATTGGCGTGCTACTCAATATTTAATCTCATTTGAATCCTTCATTTTGATCTTCAGAGGAGATGGGTTGCGCATGTGATCCATAAATATTTAGCATGTTATTCGTTAAAAACCCCCCAAAATTACCATTGTTGCAAATACAGATATTAACTGCAAAATGGAAAACCTAATTTACTGTATTGTATATAAACTCATCATAGATACCATGTTTAAAATTTTGTACGTTAGACGCGCTTGTCGTCTACAAAAAGACTCATTACCATTTCGTAGACTGATACGGCCCGTACAAAAATTCTTATACAGGTAAAACGAGTATTTATATATATATTTAATCCATAACATAAAATCAAACAGACGTAGAAAAATAGTCAGTTTACGATGTCACGTCCTTACAAATGTTTCTCTCTATTTATATGAATATTTATGTTTATGTCAGGTAATATGAATGTCGACAGTTTTTGGAGGTCATCTCGATAGATAATTAAAAGGCGTCTAAACTAAAATATGCACGAATTCTTGATACGTTATAATGAGTCCATGCATTGTTAATTGTCTATATTTGACCTTTTTGTAATTTGAGTATACTTTTTAGTATGTAATACATTAAAAAAATAGGAGTTTGAATCAAATCGATGAACACGAATTTGAAAGCTACTACCCATTAAAATATCGCCTACACATTTGACAATCGAAAACCATTTTTATTTCACGTACTTTTGATAGTTTATGGTCAGTTGTCATCATTATGGTTATGACTGTATATTTCAAGTTTTGCATGACAGGTGATGTATGCATAAAAGGTTACGCTTACCCTTTTCGACGCAATGTGTCGTCTATTTTGGAGTTTTGTACCCTTAGTTTTTGTTTGTTATCTTTATTTGTCTTTTCTTAATCGATTTACCGAGGTTTAAACTGTATACAATATTTTATGTATTTAATGAATGAAATATTAAACTGTAACAATATATATAATTAATTTTTTACATATAGCAATATTTTCATTTATATTTCAAACATGTTTAAACAGAAGAAATGTTAATACTTTCTCAAATTTCTTAGATTTAAATCATAAAGCCAAAATAAACAGACAGGCTGATAAAAAGACGTTCAATCAAACAAAAAAAAATTGCTATCTTTCATGACGCTTACAATTTTGAAGCAAACGGTCTCACTTCTCTTAGAGTTTCTAAGAATCATACAGTTTTTGCTTGTTACCTTGTTACCTTGTTTTTCTCCTTAATCTATTTCTGAGATTTAAAGATTGGTAAAGTACTGCTTCCTAAATTCCTTCGGTATTTCGTTAGGTGTGGAATGGAGTACAAAAGTTTTTAATCATGTTTGAGAATCCGACCGCGCAAATTCAAATTCATCATGCCAATGCGAACATGTAAAATAAAATGCAATACAAAACTCAATTGTGGGCACTGTCTTACATTGCCTAGAAACTTGCCCACTAAAACATTTTTGTTTGTGTACAGTCGAAATATTTGTCATGTTTCATTAATATACATGTATTACACTTTCATTCAATATGATACTAGTAATAATGATGATTTTAAGAGTAAAAACAGATAGTAAATAGTCGCTCAAATCTATCATTCTTATGGTCGGATCTTTAATATGTTGTATATGGATACGGACTCTTTCTCAAAAGGAATTACCGGTCTATCCGATATACCATTCCATGCAAGTGCTACATACAGCCCAGTAGTCAGCACATCTGTGTTGACTGACATGAATTATCATTGATATGGTCATAATTATTAAATTATTCAAATATTGATTCATCAATTGAATAATTCAATGCTTTGAATTTTTAGAAATACTACGGTTTCTCTAACCAAGGAATAGATTACCTAAGCTGTATTTGGCAAAATCTCTCGGAATTTGGGTCGTCAATGCTCTTCAACTTCGTACTTTATTTAGGCTTTTAACTTTTTGATTAGTCTTTTTTAGCATGAAGCGCGTCTAACGTACAAAATTTTAAGCCTGGTATCTATAATGAGTTTATATCACTACACACTGCTCAGAGTTTGAAAAGACCATATTTTGTGCTCGATCAGTAATGTCGGTCACAGATTTGACTTGATAAGACTCGACATAATCTCGACAGTACTTAACTGTACTTAAGTGTACTCGACTTTGGTCTAGACTTTACTAAATAAGTCTGATTGAGTACTTGATAATCTTGTTATAGTCTGAATATAGTCTCGACAAATGCTTGACCAGTCTTGACTAATGCTCGACCAGTCTCGACTCAGTCTTGACCTTTAATTTTAGTCTCGACTGGTCTTGACTCTGTCGGAATCAGCCCATCTATCTCATTATATTGATCCTACCAAATGCTAGGTTATTTAATTTAAGGATTTAATTAATAGGTAAAATAAAGCTAGAATTTTCAGTTTAGACTAAATTCAGATAGATAGCTATTAATTAAATCCTTAAATTCGACAGCAATAAACCAAACTACTAAATAACCTGGCATTTTGTAAGATCAATATATAATTGAGATAGTTGTAGAGTTTTTATGAAAATCCAAATTGATTTGAAAAGGTAATAGAAATTTTTAAAGGTGACTATCTGAATTTAGTCTGAACTGAAAATTCTAGCTTTTTTAACCTATTCATTAAATCCTTAAATTTGACAGCAATTAACCAAACTACCAAATAACCTGGCATTCTGTAAGATCAAAACATAATTGGGATAGCTGTAGAGGTATATGAACATCCAAGTTGATTTGAAAAAAAATATAGAATTTTTTAAAGAAGACCATCTGAATTTAGTCCAAACTGAAAATTGTAGCTTTTTTTTTTTACCGCAAATAACATTACTTAACTGCAAAACCATTGTTTCACCTGTTTCACCGAATCCTGACTACATCTTCACTATAGGATTGATTGATCTAACTTTTCATTTAAGCTAGAGATCGAATAGAGAAGACATTGGAGATTTTACTCCTTGACCTCGTGTACGTAACATTTAAGGTATATGTCATACTAAAGTTGAAATTTATATAGATTCATATAGAGTTGAACAAACATTTCAGTTAGTACGAAGTAATACACCGATCATCGATTTTACGGAAAAACAAATGGAAGCGATGGAGGTATATACCAAGATAATACAGTATTTCAAGAGTCACGTGAAAGGTAGTATAAAGAAAAAGACCGGTATTGCCGTAAAAGATGATCAACTGTTCTTTGTTTTTACAATACCTGCAGCTGGTACTGACGCCGCAGAGAAGTTCATACAAGAAGCAGCTAAACATGTAGGTGTCATTATAATAACTCTCTTACATTAAGTAAAAAAATAGCAATAATAAAATTGATATCACGCTTTAAATGTTTACAACTAAAACATGTTAACAATTAATTGCATGCGCTGTTGTGTTGAACTTAATTTTATCCCAATTCTTAAGTAAAATTATCGGAAAAATTTTACAAACATATTTATTGGGAGAACGGACGGAGAAGATGAATGTAATAGGATCCAAAATCTTATTGTTGGCGGGATAAAATACAAAAAAAAGTATTTCAGTTAAAATAGTGATGAAATTTCTATCCCCATAGGGATGACATATTCAGCAAAAAGAACTATAAAAGACAGATGTACTTCAAATCTTGTTTTCTCTCTTCCTGAAAAGTTTGATTGTAATACAAAATACTTTCGACTGAATTTTCATAGTTTACCAGATGACTGATAGGCGAATTGTTTTCTAATTTATATATTCAAACATATATTTGTATAAAAAATATTTGTACATAAATAAAAAAAAAACAAACAAAAAAAAACTGCCATGTAAAATGCTTGTTTCGAATTTGAAATTAGCAGCAATGTTTTTCTTATAGAAATTTCCGCAAAGGCCTCTTGCTGAAAATCTACACAGTTATTATCCTTGACCATCATGCCATACGATTAGCATCCGAAACGATTCTGAAAGGCTACTACTATCTTAAAACTAGTTTACTTACTCATGTTCACAGTATAAGTAATTTGTGACCTGCAGTATCGTTCACTTTGTAATTACACCAGATACGTTTCACTGGTTATTATCAGTGTTTTTGTTTTAGACGAACAACTATTTAAACGGTTTTCTTAAGGATTTATCAATTAAATCATTCTGGTAATAAGCTTATGTTTGGCTTTGTCATCGGATGAGAATCTGAAATCAAAGGATGCAATGAAATTAATACTACTGACTGCATCACTATCTGTAAATTTATCCTAAAATGGTGCAATCATATGTTATATAAAAATCTGATATTAATCAAAAGGAAATCAACACCACGCCTTAAGCAAATGATGAACATATTGTGATAAAATATCTAAAGTTCACGGTATAGCTGCCAGGTTAACGGCACATCCTGATGGACTATCCATCCCAAAAAAATGCGTTGATCTTATTGAATAAGATTACGCTAGTAATGAGTCCTTATAAAGTAATTGTCAGGGTAGTTTATGAAGCCAGTATTACGTATCACAAGTGTAAAACAACCATTTGGGTAATTCAATAGAAATAAGAAGATGTGGTATAAGTGCCAATGACAACTCTTCATCCAAGTCACAATGTGTACAAAGGAAACAATTATAGGTCAAAGTACGGCCTTCAACACGGAGCCTTGGCTCACACCGAACAGCAAGCTATAAAGGGCCCCAAAATGACTAGTGTAAAACAATTCAAACAGGAAAAACCAACGGTCGAATCTATATAAAAAACGAGAAACGAGAAACACTTATGAACCACATCAACAAACGACAATCACTGAACAACAGGCTCCTGTATGTCTGTATGTTTGTATGTCTTCTGTATATTCGACAGTTTTATTTATTAATTAAAATATGTTTTACATCGAACATGTAAGGTCAGAATAGAATTATAGAGAGGAGATTGTCCTTTACGTTTTATTTACAATTCGAATTTCTTAGATGCTTTAGATTCAACATTTATATAACATTTTTCGATATAAACTTTAGACATTTTTGAAAATGAATAATAATAACATGTTAAATATGTGCCTTTTAATCTTATATACCAAAATACCATTTACTTCACCAAAGACATATCATTGTATATACTATTCTCACTTTAAATAATCAGATTATGCTAATTTGTGAATTCCTTGTAACAGAGATGTGTATACAATTACAAAAATTTAGTAAAATGCAAAACAGAAAACAGTTCTAATTACGGAACAGTTCAAAACACTGTATTTGCTGTATACGACAAACATACGCATATTTCATATTTTACAAATTTTTTTTTGTCAAATAATGTTAAAGTATTTAGGTTTAATCTTAAGAAATCCGACATTTAAAAATAGCCAAGTTAAAATAAGGGAATGTTTTTCAGTAACAAATTGACAATGACAATTGATTTTTTTTCACTGAATATCACCATTTACTTTAATGTCAATGTGTTGTATAGAGACGAAACGAGCATTTGGCGTACCAATTTATAAGTCTGGTATCTTTGATGTTTTTTAAACAAAGAGTTAATTGATGGATGGACTAAGTATGATGTACAGTTATTTAGAATTTTCATTTTTTCATAATTTTTAAGGCTGAAATAATGTCGACACATATAACAATAGCTGTTGAACCCATAGTTGCGTCGATGTTTTGCAAGGCACTGAGAACTACCAAAAGGGACGGTGCATCAAACAGTAGTTCAACTATTGAAGCCGGAATGAAATACATGGTCATTGATCTTGGTGGTAAGAGAAAATACTTTTTTGTCATTCAAAACATTGAAGTTTAACAAGGGTGACGATAGTTTTTAACACTTTGTATCGTTCATCCTGCAATTTTGCAGTTTTTGTTTTGAAATGTCATAAATACGAAAAAGTTGCCTTTATCTTATGAAGAGAAAAAGAAGAGGAAAAGCTGGAAGGAAACTCGAGAATTCGGTCCTTTCTTTTCATTAATTGCATAGGTCAGCAATTGTCCCCAAATGTAGTCTGACGATAGATCGTTTTTCAGTTGAATTGTTATTGTCAAACCACTAATTAGATAATGAATGTAATACACACTTTACAAATTTCGTAAAGGGTGCGAACACTATAATAAAGCAATGATGAATAGATGACACAAAATGGACATGAACAATGTATATACAATATGTCAAACATTAATTACTCTAGAATTGTTTTGGATCGCTACGCTGTTCCCCTCTTTCAAACCCGATCAGAAGAACTACAAAAGTTATATTGGAAAACGTGACTAATTAAGATAAAACATTGAACTCTATGATACCGATTTGAAAGACCACAATGAACGTCAAATAAAGACAAAACATAGGTAATTAATACCGTATCAATAGAATTTCAAAGTTTATTAAAGCAAAACCAAGTACTTAAATTTATGATTTGACAAAGAGAAGCTGAAGATACCAAAAAGATAGTCAAGCTCATAATACGAAAACAATGTCAGTGTCATCGCAAAATACGAGAAACGATCGAAAACAATAATAGTCTTCAAAACACAACATAGAAAACAAAAGACTGAAGAACACGAACCCCACCAAAAAACTGAGGGTTAAATGGTGTTCTGGAAGGGTAGGCATCCGTCGTGTTGTTCATGTTAGTACAAACCCGGTGATAAGTCTAATTCAGAAGGTCACATTCGAGGAAAAGAGGACGGGATTGAGATTACGGCTATTGAAAAAAAGTAAAATAGCAGAAATACCGAACGCCAATGAAAATTCAATACGGAAAGTCCTTTATCAAATGGCAAAAAAGCTCAAACACATCAAACGAATGGAAAACAACTGTCATATCCCTGACTTGGTACAGTAATTTCCTTATGTAGGAAAAGGTGGATTAAACCTGGTTTCATAGCTAGCTAAACCTCTCACTTGTATGACAGTCGCATAGAATTCCATTATACTGACAACCATGTGTGAGCAAAACAAAGAGACATAATAGGTAAAATTGTCAAAATTTGGGTTACAACAGTCAACATTGTGGAACATATACTTCGTCATCCGTGAAACAGATATTCAATAACAGTCATCTCCTGATGTCGTCCGTAAAATTTTATAAGGGATGACTTCAACACTTTGAACTCTTAGTTTGATAGCTTCTTTGTAACCAGCAACCCTCTATCATGGAAATTATGATAGGAAATGAAAGCTTTAAAGTTAAACTATCCGACACTATATTATTGGTGAATTTATTTATGATAAAATTTCATACAGCAACGCTGATAGAAATTCCAAAAGACATGTCTAGCACATTTGAGTTTCATATTGATAATCATGAACGTACGAAAAACAATTTCATTTTAATCTTGCTTTAAACGATACACAGTGAACTGGTATAACCCCCCCCCCCCCCCCAAATAAAAAAAAAGAAGAAAAAAAACCTAAATTAAAAGAAAAAAAAACTTTATGAAAGCGATGCAATGATCATGATGATTAACAAAAGAAAAACAGCAGCCTAAATTTTATAGTTATCTGTAAGTGTGTTAGAGTACATAGAAAATTTAAAGAACAAATAATTTTTTCTAAGACTTAGGATTGCGTTTTTAACTTAACACCGTTGGAAGTGTACTTGTAGGTATTGAAACCAGGAGTACAGCTTAATTATAAATTGAAATTGGGTTTTCAACCATCTTTCAGTAGATGCAATTACTAACAGATCTGATCTATTTATGTGCTTTATACCAGTCTGGTGGATTAAGCCATTTCAATTGATTTTTTATAGTATTTTCCTTTGTTATGTTGTTACGCAATAGTCCCATTTCGGAGGGTTGAGCGCTCCCAAATATGTTTAGTACCGTCGCATTCATTATGTGTCTGTACCAAGACAAGAGCCAGTAATCCAGTGGCTGTCGTTTGTTGTTTTCTGCTCCGACTATTTTAAGTTCATTTATGTATTATATGTATGTGAGATTGCAGGTGTTTATGTATGAATTGTTTCACGTTTTATTATCCCGGATCCTTTTATAGCTTACTATACAGTTTTGTTCTTTCAAGGTCGAACAATGATTAAAAAATTATCAAATATTTGGCATGTGATTTTTATGAATAATTGTATCAATAATTGCCATGACCACAAATCTTTAATCTAATATGGGTGTAAAAATCACGTGTTTTAAGTTCCGGTAGATAAAATCATGCATTTGCAATAGACCTTATATTTGTGACGAAATTTTGTAAAGTGTTGAGGAATTTATGGTATCTGTAATGATAAATATATTGCGCTCATGAAATATGAGACTGCATTGCAAACACGCATATCAAACAAACAAAGACGAAACCAAAGATATATAACAATTAAGAGAGATTCACAGGGGGAAAATTCGCCCCGTTTTTTATGATTTATGATATGAAGAAACCAATGATACAATTTGATATACATGTATGGTCTAAAATAGACAACAGTCACTTTTAACATGAACTGAATTAGCTTTGATAAGGCAAATAATGCCATTTCGTTTGAATATTTATTCATTGGTATATTTTATCCAATATAAGATGCAATAAAGGATTCCTTAGGTACAGATTAGTCTATCACATACTTAGGTCTTGAAATTGATGATGAGGTTGAGAACTAAACGTTACGACCATAGAGATCATTTCAGCTTTTCTTACTTACTTAATCCTCTTCGTGTTCTTGAACACATAAGGCATCAACAAGGGACCTCAGACTCGTTCTATCTTTCGCGATTTTCTCTATCTGATTCCAGGTGTAACTATGTCTTTTTATCTCTGTTGCTATATCCCTTCTCCATGTGCCTTTAGTAGGTCTTCCAGGCTTTCTTGTCCCTTGTGGTGTCCATGTCAGCACATTTTTCACATGCCGGTTGTTATCCATTCGCAATATATGTCCAATATATTTCCACCGCCTTTTCATGATCTCATTTACTATATTCCTCACACCTGTTCTTTCTGATAGTTCACTGTTTGAAATTACATTTGGCCATCTGATGTTAATAATTCGTCTCAAACAGCGTCCTTCGAATCCTCTAATTCGACTTTCTACTTTTTTAGTTGTTTTCCATGTTTCTGAACCGTACAGCAAAACTGATCTAACATTGCTCACATACAATCTTATCTTTGTCTTTCTAGAAATTTTATTGTTTTTCCATATGTTGTTCAGGTTCTTGAATACAGCAGCTGCATTGCCAATACGGATGTTGACTTCTTTCTCAATATTTCCTTCTGCATTGACTCTACTACCAAGATAGTTGAATGAATTTACTTGTTCCAGTTCTTTTCCGTTCACTGTTATTGCGTTTTTGTTCTTTGCAACTATCTTCATCACCTTGGTTTTCTTTGCATTTATCTTCAGTCCTACTTTCGCTGCCTCTGATGTAACTTTATCTGTCTTTTTCTGCATGTGTTCATGTGTATGAGAAACGAGGCTGATATCATCAGCAAAGTCCATGTCCTCCAAAAATGTTGTTAGTCCCCACTGTATACCATTATTTTCAGTTGTTGCCTTCTTCATTACCCAGTCAACCACCAATATAACGAGAAAAGGAGATATTATGCATCCGGGTCTTACTCCAGATGTTATTAAAAACCAGTCTGATAGTTTTCCATCATGTCTGACTGCACATCTAAAGCCATCATACATTTCCATAATGATGTTAATTATTTTCTGTGTAATTCCATACATACTCATGATGTACCAAAGTGACTCTCTATTGACACTATCAAATGCTTTTTCGAAGTCCACATAATTTATATATATAGGTGATCTCCATTCTAGTGCCTGTTCAATGATATTTCTCAGTATGAGGATGTTATCTAAACATGCACGGTTTTTTCTAAATCCACTTTGTTCTTTCCGTAGAATAGAATCGAATTTGCCTTTGATTCGTTTTAGAATTATTCTACAAAGTATCTTTCCAGGCACTGATAGTAAAGTAATTCCACGCCAGTTGTTACAATCTGTAAGGTTGCCTTTCTTTGGTAGTTTTATGATGATACCATCTTTCCACTGAGGAGGTACTATTTCTTTTTCCCATATTTCATTCAGTAAATCACGTAGGATGTTCACATTGAGATTTATGTCTGCTTTTAGAACTTCTGCTGGTATGCCATATGCCACAGGAGCCTTGTTGTTTTTAAGTTTCTTAATGACTGCTTTGATCTCATCATCTGTTATGGGTCCAATTTCTATTTCTGTTGGTGGTGGAGCTTCCTCTGACCTGTCAACTGAGATTTCTGGTTCAGGTCTATTTAACATCTGTTCAAAATGCTCTTTCCATTATTTCAAATTGTTTCTCAACTTGCATATTGTCTGACCATCTTTATCTTAGATGTTAGTACTGGTGGTATTTACCCTGCCACTAAGTTGTTTTGTGGTGTTGTATAACTTTCTCATATCTCCAACTTTAGATGCTTTTTCAGCCTCTTCTGCAATATTATCTATGTATGCCTTTTTGTCTGACTTTGCATTCTTATTCACTTTTTTTTCTTTACTATTATACAGCTCTTTCATTCCCTCTTGTTGTTCTCCTGTTGCTTGGTAGGTTTTTGATTTCAATGCTTTTCTTTCCATAATTAAAGCCCAGGTTGTTTCAGATATCATTCCTTTCTTTCTTTATTTTTATAACCTAAGATGTCTTCACTTGTTTTTAAATAAATTTCACTCATATGTTGCCATTTACAGTTTATGTCAATCTCATTTTCTTCAAGTTGTAAGACCTCAAATCTGTTCCTCAGTTCTATATTGAATTTTTGGTGTATTTCAGGTTGTTGAAG